ACATTCAAACTCTAGTTGGCTCTTTACACACATTTCCACCTTGCCATGAGCTGTCAAAACACTGTTTGAACACCTAGACAGAAACAAGAATATCTACAGTTTGAGGCCAGCCTGGGCTCCAAAGAGAATTCAAGGATAGCCCAGGATATATAGTGAAGCCATCTCTAACAAAAACACTGCTTCATTTCCAAACCACCAAATTCAAACCCTGCCCCCAAGGTCTGATAGAGGCCTCCCAATTCCTCTGCCATATGATCATGTGTATCTTGTCAAATTCAGATCTGTTCCTGACTAGGTCAGGACAGACATTCAGAGTCTGAATGGTAACAGAACAAGTGGGAAAAGATGACAAGCAGGGGCAAGGCAGACGCTGGAGACACAGATGCATCCAGCAGCCACCAGCATCCAATGGTGACTAAAGCTATCACCAGCATCCAATGGTAACTAAAGCTATGTGTGAGCATCAAACTGCCCTGGAGGCTACGGTGAAAGTGGGCGAGGCTGAGCCTCAAGAGCCTGCACTGTCTAAAGGCTCTCGAGAAAGGTAAAGGAACAAAGGAGACCGAGAGGACATCACCAGAGATAGATGGGAAGGTCAGGAACACAAGCAAACATCTGTGATCTAACTTTGATCAAGTTACCAAATGTGACGTGGAAAATTAGCTGTGACCACCAAAGACAGATTTAATTGCAGTCTAGACCCAGTCGGGAACATGCTGACTGGATCTCTAAATACCTCCAAGAAATGTAACAGGGTCCTGGACTCGTATTTGATATATACTGCTCAAACGCCAAAAGTCTGAATGGACAAGAAGTCCTAGCGACCTGAACTTAGCTCAGCACTGGAAACTAGCTCCCTTGCCCACATACATGTAGACAAGCTACATACATGAGGTAGGACTCACTTTTTTCTACACTCTTCAAGCTCTGCAAACTTTCCGTTAACTCCGCGTTTAGTAGTCTGGGTAAGAAGTCCCGCATCTGCATCACTTCGGTCGTCAGCTGTTCCAGGTCCTTCCTTCTGACTTTCACATATTCTTCTTTGGGTTCTAGGCACTAAAAAGAACAAGTACATCTTAACATCACAATCTCTCTCTTCAGGTGACCAGAACTGGCACCCAAGGCAACTTGCTTCCTTTTCTTTCAAGCCTCTTACATTCCTAATTACCTCACAAGCATGTCTACATATGTACTTTCGTGTGTGTGCACATGTGTGTTCAATTTTGGGGGGGGGGGTGGTCTCATTACGTATCCCTGACTGTTCTGGAATTTTGTAAACTATGCTGGCCTTAACTTTGAAACAATGTGCTTGCCTCTGCCTCCCTAGTAATGGGGTTACAAGCCTATTCCACCATCCCCGGCACCTGATGCATCTTCTATTACACGTCTGGATATAGGGGTGTGTGTGTGTGTCTGGATATAGGTGTGCTGCGTATGTGTATGTGGGTACACACGGGTTTTATATACAGAGAGACAAGGGTGGTGATGCACACCTATATTCCCAGCTTTTCAAGAAACTGAGGCTGGGGCTGGAGAGATGGCTCAGTGGTTAAGAGCATTGCCTGCTCTTCCAAAGGTCCTGAGTTCAATTCCCGGCAACCACATGGTGGCTCACAACCATCTGTAATGAGGTCTGGTGCCCTCTTCTGGCCTGCAGACATACAGACAGAATATTGTATACATAATAAATAAATATTTAAAAAAAAAGAAAGAAAGAAACTGAGGCTGAAAGATGATTTTACCCAAGCGTTCGCAGGGACACAGTGGAAGAGCGAGTGTAAATACTGGAGGGGAAAAACCGCGTACACGAGGCTAAAAGCCAAAGAAAACGCCTACAATGTACGTGTCCAGGCTGAGCCGCCCCGGGATGGCATCGCTGCGGGCTGCACGCGGCCTCTGTGACCCCTAACATTCACCGCCACCACCCAAGGCCGTCACACAGGAGAGGCCCTCTCTTCCCTCTCTTCGCTGAGTCACCAAGGGCAGGGCCCCATGACTGAGTACACAGCCCTGGTTCTCCCAAAAACTCTCGGCCTGAGACCCTGACCGCCGCTTCTTAACTAGACTTGAGGCCTTCAGAGGCTCAGGAAGCGCGCCTCGAGTTGCCCGCCCTGGTTCACCCTGGTGCCGCCTGCCCTGAGCCGCCTCACAGCCACAGGGCCTGGCCCTGAGGGGAGCGAGTGTCAGCAGCTCCCTCATGCAGGACCCAGAACCATCCCACTGACCCGGCAGGCTTCATCAATATCGGACGCCTCGCCCCCACTCATGGCCATGGTCAAGGCCTCTGCTCTTTTGTGAAGCTCTAGTACACGCTAACACGCTAGAAAGCGCGGGAACGAAGAGCGGCTGGGACCCGACGGAAAGCCGCGAGGTTCAAATTTCGCCAAGTTCGCGTCGCACTCTTGGTTTCCGGTCTCCGGGTCCAGGGATAAGGTTGACCCGACTGTATTGAAGCTCTTCCGCTTCCGTCGTGGTTCAAATTTGGCAACTGCAAAATGAGGCCTGGGTGTCAAAACATACAGAGTCCATCCTTTTCTGTTCAGGGAGAGGATACTACAGCCAAACCCTCATCCTCTTGGTGAGAAACCGTGCAGTTGCCAGCAGAACATCGCCCCTTGGCCCAAAGCACTTCTGTATTGAGAGATGTATTTTTGTATTCACTGAAGAACTATTTTGGCCGGGTAACTGAGGTACGAAATAACCAAAGACTGAAGCGGGGTGTCGTGGTACACGCCTGTAGTCCCAGCACTTGGGTGATAGAGGGAGTCCAAAACCAGCCTGGCTACAAAGCAAGGGACAGTCTTGCCTGTGCTACGGGGAGGGGGGGGGGGATCAATAACCAAAGTTCGAAGGAGTATTCTAATCTAATAATTCCCTTAAGGTGCTAATGAATCTACAGAATATGTGTTTGATGACCTAGGGTTTTGAATGTCCCTAAAGTTAGCACAGCTGTTAAGACTTTTTTTTTTCTTGAATGGAGATGGAGGAATGGAGGTGGGGAGGAGGGGACAGAAGGAAGGGGAGAGGGAATGGAGGAGGGAATAGAAGGGAGGTGGGGGAGGGAACGGGAGGAGAGGAGGGAGGGGAAACTGGTGGGTATGGGTATGTAAAATAAAAAAATAATAATTAAAAAAAAGACTTCTAAGCCAGCAGTAGTGGTGCATGCCTTTAATCCCAGCACTCGGAAGGCGACTTCTTTCTTGTGGGATTAGTATGTCCCCACTTGTGCTGGTGCCAGGTGGCTTTATGTCAACTTGACACAAGCTAAAGTCATCTGAGAGGAGGAAACATCAATAGAGAAAATATCTCTATGGGGGGGGGTGCATTTAATCATTCAGCACTTGGGAGACAGAGGCAGGTGGACTTCCAGGTTCGAGGCCAGCCTGGTCTACAGAACGAGTTCCAGAACAAATAGCAAGGGCCACACAGACAAACCCTGTCTCGAAAATCCAAAATAAATAAATTAAAAATTAAAATAATAAAAAAGAAATTAAGAAAACGTCTCCAGGGGCTGCTCTTCCAAAGGTCCTGAGTTCAAGTCCCAGCAACCACTTGGTGGCTCACACCATCTGTAATGGGGTCTGGTGCCCTCTTCTGCCTTGCAGGCATACACACAGACAGAATATTGTATACAAAATAAATAAATATTAAAAAAAAAAAAAAGAAAACATCTCCATAAGATAAGGTTGTAGGCAGGCATATAAGGTGAGGGTGGGGTGGTTATTTTCAAAATGGGGTTTCTCTGTGTAGCTCTGGCTCCTTATCCTGGAACTAGGTCTGTTGACCAGGTTGACAGAGAAGTCCGCCTGCCTCTGCCACCACCTTGCTATAAGGCCTTTTCTTAATTAGTGGTTGATGCTTATGGTGTGTGTTGCCATCCATGGGCTGGTGGTCCAGTGTGCTTTAAGAAAGCAGCCTGAACAAACTATGAGGAGCAAGCCAGTAAGCAGCTCCCTCCATGACCTTTGCATCAGCTCCTGTCTCCAGGTTCCTGCCCTGCTTCAGTTCCTGTGCTTACTTCCTTCGATGATGAACAGTGATATGGAAGTGTAAGCCAGATCAATCCTTTCCTCCCTAACTTGCTTTTTGGTCAGGACTTGCTTTTTGTTTCACTGTAGCAGTAGAAACCCTAAGACACCACGGCTCAGAAATGTGTGTTTTGCACGCAGGAGGACTTAAGAACAGGGCCAAGTTCCCTCCCCATTAGATACCAAAATCTTCCCCCGCATGCCACCAGGACAGGTCATCTCCCTCTAATGTGGGGGACATCCCTTAACCTGACCCAGAGGCTGTGGGTACGGGTTTGATAAGTCCCCATTCAACAAGCCTACACCTGTCCCAGGACGCTTCAGGAAGGCTTGCTGTTTTGCCACTACACACCCCTGACTCTGCCCCAGGAATGCATCTCTCTCTCCACACCACACTCCTGGACGTGCCCTTGATGCTGCAGGGATGGTTTTCCCTCCTTGCTTAAACCTGAGCCTGCCCTAGAACACTGCAAAGGTCTCATCACCTCTGCATTTGTCGCAGGACATTGATGGGGCGGATCGTTCACTCTAGAATGCTGCGCCTGCATCAGACTCTAGGCACTATGTTACACTGGGGAAAGTGGAGGCGGGGGAGCACAGTTCCTGTGCTGTCCTCAGGCCGGGGCTGCCCGGATGACTGTCTTCCTTCTGGGTCTCAATTCTGCCCAGGAAAGCCCGCCGACTTCTGCAGACACAGCGTGTGGGGAGGTCGCTGGAACGTCAACCCCCGACAGAGCTTTGTTAGCTGTGCTTAGACTCTAGACTGCGTCAAAACCAGCTGTAGGTGTCTTCCTGGAGGAGATCTGACCCCAGCTAATCTTGACGCCAACCACCCTGACTTGAACCACCCACAGGACGTACTCAGGAAGCACGCCCGCAGCTTTTACTCGCGCCACGGCCACGCGGACTCCCCAGGCGCGATGCGGCGGCGCATCTGTGACGCCATCACCAGCGCGCCGTATAGCCCGTGCGCAGGCGCAATACAGACTGCTCGGTGGCGAGCTGCACGCGCGCAGCCTGGGGATGCTGGAGCTGGTGCGATGGCTCCCGCCATGCAGTCGGCCGAGCTCCAGTTCGCTCAGCGGCTGGCCTCCAGCGAGAAGGGTGTCCGCGACCGCGCAGTGAGGAAGCTGCGGCAGTATCTCAGCGCGAGGACGCAGAGCGACACAGGTGCGGGCCGGGGTCCGCGTCGCTGCGCTCGGCGAGGGTCGCTCTTGTGGGTGCGGGAGCTGCTGCTGCGGGCTGTGAGGCGGAGCTCCAGCTCCACGCTCAGCCCTGGCCCAGCTCGCCGAGGCCCGTTTGCGTTTCTTGTTTTCTTCTCTTGGATCGTGCCTGCAGGCGCTGGTGTGCGGGAGAGAGTTGAGGCTGCATTTCAGCCCCGGAGGAACTCTCGCAGGACCCGAGGCAGTAGGGCAAGTGTGAATACGGGAATGTATACTAGTAGGTGTGGAAAAGTACAAGAGGAAGTCTCTCTAAATGAAGCCTCCAGTGTTCTGTGAGATTTTTGACAGGAGGAAGTCAGCCAGGCCAACGCAGGTTAAGAGCTAAGGGTGCCCTGGGCCAGAGAAATCAGAAGTTGGCGCGCAGGGCGTGTCCAGATGAAGTTGAGCCTGGTGGCGGTGTGGCCAGGTTACTGGCTTTCTCGGATTTTAACAGCCGTGGAGCGCTTTGCAAGATTTTCGATCCTGAGTAGGTTTTGTAACTCTTGAGTGAACACTTAGGTCTGAACTGACTGCAGCGTGCTGTGAAGGTTTCAGGTTGCAGACGGTTGACTAAAGTTTAAACTACGTGTTGCTAAATCTGCCTAAAATTGAAAAATGGCTCAGCAGTTTGAGACCCAGTTCCCACATGGCAGCTCATAGCCAGTTCCTGAAGAGGACTCGCCCCCTTCTGACACCAGGCATGCACGTGGTGCACATACGTAGAGGCAGGCAAAACACTCATACACTTAAATCTTCAGAAGTTTTTTTAATTGAACTCTTCACCCATGTGATTCAGCTCTTGGAAAGCTGAAGGCAGCCAGGGCCACAGGACAAGCAAGATCTTATCTCCAAAAAAGAAAGAGAAACTTTGGTGAGAAGCCTGATAGAGATAAAAACTAAAATAATTTTATTTTTTTTTTAATTACTACATGTGTGCACTTTTGGAAGTTAGGTTTTGAAAGCTGTCTCTCTTCCACCCTGATTCCAGAGGTCAGACTCAGGTAGACCTGGCAGCTGTAATCCCTTTTGTTAAGGATTGCCCCCAGGAATTCAGTTTACTCCCATGTTTATAAGTTCCCTAGATGCGTGTGCTGGTAATTCCTAAACCTAACTTGGTAGCCCAGGTGTGCTTTAGCTACCCTCCCCTCAGATTAGTGGTACTAGCCTGATCCTTCACCTGACTGTCCCATGAGTGCCTCAGTGTCAAAAATGGGAATGACTCCTGCTCCACCCAAAATACCTATTCTCTGCCGCTGCTCCTTCCCTATGGCTCATACTCCCTTATTTCCCCCACACACAAACACACCACATTGCCATGGGCTCTCTTCATCCTCCACATCCACCCACACACACATCCTTTGTCCTGCCTACTCAATATCCTGCTTAACCAGAGCTTCCCTTCCCTTACCCAGATATCTTTCCTGCCTGTTCCCTAACTGGTCTCCTTCACTCCTTTGTGCCTTTTGTTTGTTTTTGTTCTTCAAGACAGTCTTTGTGTATCAGCCCTGACTGTCCTGGAAACCAGGCTGGCTTTGAACTCCCAGAGATCTGTGTGCTGGGAGCCCTCTTATTTTGTGCCTCTTTAATCTCTCCTTCACAAACTAGCCCAGGTCACTTTCCTAAAGCACCTCCTTGAAGGTCACAGTCTGTCAGTCAGGGTGTCCTCACCAGCTGTTCTAAGTCCTTAGTAATCAATAAAACCCTTGGAGGCTGAGGACACCAAACAATTGCTCGTCTCCATTCCTTTGCATTTCTGAATTGTTTTGCAAAGAACTCCACCCCTTCTCCCCTGGCAGCATCATTTCTGAGAAATCCCCCTTTAGTATCTCCCCGCCTCCTGGTTACCCCTAGAGTTATAAAACATGTGTCCCTTTATAAAATATGTAGTCTTAGATACTTGGTGTGGGGGGGGGGGGCTATTTGTTTTGAGATAGGATTTCCTGTAGCCAGGGTTGGTCTTCATTAGCTTTGTAACTGAGAGTAACCTTGAACTCCTTGTGGTCCTGCCTCAGCTGTGTACAGATAACTTTGTTTCTGAATTCCAAGGCTTGTATCATTTTCCTCCCAGCAGTGTAAGCTTCCATTTGTTTTCTTGGCCATAGGTAAAAGCACATGGAGCCTTAGGAGGCCTTCAGGAGACAGAGGCAAACACTACATCTGGACCTCGGGTAGCCAGAGAGCATGCTTCTCAGACCCCTTTGGAGACAGGCCCAGGAATACTAAGGATGTCTTAAAATACTAAGATGTCACAAGGACCTGAAGCCAGTTGGCTCACACCAGTACCCCGGGATCCTTCCTGGTTAGCACCACCCCCAGATTTGCTTATCTTGGTCCCCTATTCATCATCATGGCTAGTTTGTGGAATATAGAATGCCTTCAAGAAAGTAATAATAATAATTGTAGAGGGGCTGGGAAAATGGCTCAGCAGGTTAGAACACTTGTTTTCTTGCAGAGAACCCAAGTTCAGTTCCCAGCACCCCTGTGGTGACTCATGACTGTCTCTAACTCCAGCTCCAGGGCATCTGTCACCCTCTTCTAACCTCTGCAGTCACTACAGAAGCACATGGTATACATAGATGCAAGTAAAATACACATATGTCTAAAACAAACTAAAAACAGCTGCAGGGGCCAGGAACAGTGCTCTATCAGTAATGTGCTTGCCACAAGCCCCCCAAGCACCTGAGTTCAGGTGTTCAGCATCCATATAAAGACCAGGTAAAGTCCTGGAGGGGCCTTGATGGCCAGACGGTCTAGCCAAATTGGTGAATTCAAGGTTCAATGAGATAACCTGTCTCAGAAAATTAGCTGGAGAGCTGTTGAGGAAAATACCCAACATTGACTTCTGGCCTATATGTATGTGAGTGCAAATAAATAAAATTTGCAGAATGAATGTCTTCATAGTCACGGGACAAGAAAACCAAAGCATCTGCTGTGCCCCATCATAATAGAAGCACGAGTTGCCTCACATTTGCGTCTTGTTGACAAACTCAGTTTGTTTTGCAGCCATGCATCTTGCTGGGCAATCTGACATTTTAGTCTTTCTGAAACACATAGCTGTCTGTTAGCAGCATGAATAGATAGGCTCTGTGGTCTTTGCTGTCATGAAATGGTCACTGTGTTTTAGTTCATGGTGGCTCATGTGTCCTGGTGCAGTTGTTCATAAAGGCAGCAAACGTTTGTGAAACACCATGTATTGTATATAACGAGTCTCGGCCTACGGGATACAGCAGGGAATCAAACAGGCAGTCCTTGCCTGTCTTAGCGGTTCTCTGCCTTGAACGGTTCACACTTACTAAAGCCATGGTGCATCTTCAAATCAACCCTGTGGCAGTTTCATTTGTGACATTGCTTCCTCTTTTTTTGTTAATATTAGTATTGTGTGTGTGCACGCATGCGGGAGTGTGTATACGGGAGATAGATGTGTTACAGCACACATTCGGAGGTGAGAGAACAACTTGATGGGATCAGTTCTCTCCTCCCATTTTTATGTAGGTTCAAAAGCTGGAACTCGCCCTGAGGTTTGTGTGGCAAGAGCCTTTACCTGCCAAGCCGTTTATTTCCCCAGCCCCAGTTTCCTTTTTAATGACATAAAATGACTGGATTTCTGGTTGGCGGCGGCTAGAATACTACAGGTATTGTGGAAGTGAGGAGTTAAGGTTCTCCGCCTGAAAGTTAGAAGGAGGTGTATGTGTTTTGACTGTGGTGTGGTCTGGAAGATGATGATACTCTCCCCATCCAGAATGGGGACATGTTCGTGTACTGTGTTCATTTTGTGGAGAGAGTTGCTGGTGGACATTCTCATTTCAAAACTCAATGGTATTCCCTGTGAAGCTTTTGTATTCATGTCATTCTTTTTAAAATAGCTAAACCTAACCTGTTGTCAGGAACTAGATTAGGTAAAGATTTAAAAAATGTCCCCAGCCAGGAGTGGTGGCACTCACTTTTAATCCCCAAACTCAGGAAGCAGAGGCAGGCAGATCTCAGTGAGTTCTAGGCCAGCCAGAAAAAAGATACTCCGTGGTCAGTTATAGTAGTGATGCCTGTGATTCCAGAACTTGGGAGGCTGAGGCAGGATTGTAAGTTTCAGGCTGGCCAGCCTGGACTCATAGAAGAGCCCTGTCTTAAAATAGCAGAGGAGGAGGGACCCAAGGAGGCTTACCTAAGGATAGGGTGCTTATCTGACGAGTGACGTGCAGAACCGGCACCTCAGAAAGACTTTACACCAAGAAGAAAGCATCTTCGAGGGCAACTTTCAACCAAGACTGCTTCACTTCAGATACTTACTGCGTCTTTTGAGTTTTAAAAGGAATCAGATACTGTTTTTTTATCCCTCTTTAGTACTGTAAAAATCAGTACCTGTTTTTACCAACTAAACTCCTAGGTTAAAATAGGATTCTGTGCCTATTTTGAAAGTAAATATTTAGAGTGGAAGACTTGACCAAACCAGGGCTTCTTCCAGCTTTTCTGTTCACCGCCCCTTTTACCTGAGAAATTCTTACAGGACGCCAAATATATAGGTATGTGAACTAGTGAAACATGGCATGCTTGGAAGTTCAGGGCTAGGGAAAGATGAGCAGAGGACGGGGATGTGTGTGGTGGTTTTGCTGCTGGCATGGCATCTCTAAACATTAAGAAAAGAGTAGACTCTAAGGTGGATGTGCCCTTTTCTCCCGCAGGTTTCAGTCAGGACGAACTCCTAAAAATATGGAGAGGACTCTTCTACTGCATGTGGGTTCAGGACGAACCCCTTCTGCAGGTAACGAAGCCCCTCCCTCGTCATGTTCCTGGACCTTTGCCACAGTGCATAAGAGACGCTCTGCCGGTCTGTTGCCATGCCCAGACAGATGGAAGTAAAAGCTTGAAGGAGCCATTGTCTCCACCCTTGTCCCCTCAGGAAGGGGCAGCAGGCACTTAGGCTGTGCGTTCAGACATATCGGGCACCTGAGTCAGAGATTCCCTATTGCTCTCATCATTCCATAGCTTCCGTGGTAGGTTTTACACAACGTTTTTAGTGTTTCTGCTTTCTCTTCTGTCGATGCATGATCAGAAGCACAGCGGGGGGCCTGGAGGGCCTGGTGCCCAAATGAGCAGCCAGGCCCTGTGGCTCAAGTGCCGTGGGCTGCACTGGTGACTAGAATACACAGTAGAGCCCTGCCCACTCAGTCTGCCACCAGTTCAACCATAGAAGAGGTTTGTTCTAATGTCTGGAACTAGACCCTCCTCAGTAGCAGGGGAGTACAGGTCACAACACACAAACCCCAGTGTAGAGTCCTGCTGGGTAGCGCTTGCCTTATGTATGAAGCGTTGCTGCTTTTCTCAGGACATGTAGTGACTTGTCTCAATTCACTCTGTTGATTCTACTGAACATATTTTGAGTGGGATAGCAGGGCAAAATATTTTAAGATTATATTCAGAAGTAGCAACAAGCAGCTTTAGTGGGGGGAGGAAGAGAACCAACGAAAAGGAACATCATTTTCAAGTCTTGGAGTTCATTCAAGATGAATAAGGAACTCTGGGCACAGGAGGACCGGTAAGGGTGCTCATCTTCAGATAGTTGGAAGATGGAAGGCTTCTTCCTAGGCCACGCCCATTAGTGCTGCCAAATGGAGTCTGCTGTGCCTCCACTGCTCTTCAGTTTTGCCAAAGCACAACCTAGAGGAGTCTGTTGACAATCCAGCCTGCTCTGACCAGGTCTAGAAGGCCGAAGTGAAAACCCCATTGTACAAGCACCAGAAAGGTGACCCTGTGCCTTCTGCTTGCAACATTTGATATTCATGATAGATTCTGTTTAGTTTATATGTTAAGACCAGGGATGAGGTGTGGTAATGCACACCTTTAATCCCCAAGACTCAGAGTCAGAAGCAGACGGATCTCTGAGTTCGAGGCCAGCCAGAGCTATGTAGAGAAATACTGTCTCCAAAAAAAAAAATGGCCAACAATTTGGCGGTAAGGTTACTTCTCCTGGAATTATCCAAACTCTTAACCAGAGATGCTTTCTTGAACACAAGAGTTTTAGCATTTTTTCCAGAAACATCACATTAGCCTCGTAGTTCTCTATAAAGTTTGGAGTTTCACATCTGAAAAAAACCCAGGGTGTCTGCCACAGACCTAGGACAAGAGACGCAGGCTTTCCTGCCACAGAGGAAGGAGGGTACCGCCGCCCAAAGCCCTGCCACCACAGCCTGACCACTAATAACCGATGTTTCTCCCCAACCCACCTTTGCAGGAGGAGCTAGCGAACATTATTTCCCAACTCATCCATGTTGTTCACAGCTCAGAGGCTCGTAAGTCCCGCTGTTTTCCTGGCTTTCAGACTTCCTTGTTAGCGGGTTTGGTAGCTTGCCTGGGGAACCTAGTCAGTGCTTCCCTCCGTGAAGTTCGTCTTCTAGGTGTTGGTGACATAGGAGCCTCCTGCTAGCATTGTACAGATGTGATATGCTGTTATTGCTTTGAGATGCTGTGTTTAATGTTAACTGCGTAGTGAACAGAGATCATTCGGCATCCAAAGACAGATCAGAATCCTCCAAAGTCTCCAAATGCAAGTTATGTTCACACTTAAAAGCTGTGACATCTATGCCAGCACGTACAGTGACCTGGCCCAGATGAGAGCCATCGTGCTGATAAATCACTGTAATAAAGCATAGATGAGTTTACCTTAAAAGAAAAGATGAGTTTTCTGAAGTTGGACAGCAGTTTGTTCTGCTTGGCATTCCCCACTTGAGTAACCCTGGTTGGTTCTCTCGGTTCTAGCTGACCTACAACATGGAGCTTCTACATCTGTTGTATAGTAAAGATTTCATTTGTTAATAAGTTGTGCTGGACATGGTAGTCCATTTAGAAGGCTGAGCCAGGAGGTTTGTGAGCTCCAGGCCAGCCTTGGGTAGCAGCCAAACCCTATGTAGAAGGAAGTGGAGATGTTCAAAAATCAGTAAATCAGGAAAGATTTCCAATTTTAAAAGTGGTAGTTCTGTAACTTAAATAGCTTGTGCTGTGTCCCACCCAGCCAACACTTAACATCGAAAAATCTGTCTTTATACATGAATTGCAAGGATGCTCATAAGGATTAGTAGACAGGATTGGTTGTCAGATGCAGCTGTAGTAGAGAGGACCAGTGGGTTTCTTCAGAGGACTCTTAATAGGAATGAGGGTTTGAGGCAGATAAAGAACAGTGCTTTGGGGAAGATTCTGTTAAGAGATGCTGATAGTATTGCATTATAATGTCTTTATATAGCTGTAAGGAAATTATTAGCATATTTAATTATTGGCCAAACTCTGTCTAAGAATTCTTGAGGTAGATGTGTAAAGAGAACCAGGTGTGTTTTCTGTCGCTCCCTTCTTGCTGCGTGCTCATGTGGCAGCCGAGCACTGAGAGCCTCTTGTTCCTGCAGAACACCTGTTCCTTCAGACCTTCTGGCAAACCATGAACCGAGAGTGGGAAGAGACAACAGACGAGCTGCAGCTGGACAAGTACTGCATGGTAAGATCTTCCCTGGCATCCATTCTGTTCTCTTCTGGAAGCCAAGGTGGAGTTTGCTCAGAGGGTTTGGGGGAAAAGGTTGGTTGGTAGGTAGGTAGGTAGGTTTTGACTTTTCACAGGGTTTCCCTGTAGCACTGGCTGTCCTGAACTCATTCTGTATAGACCAGGCTGGCCTTGAACTCAGGCCTGCCTGCCTCTGCCTACTGAATGCTAGGATTAAAGGCTGTACCACCACCACCTGGCCTGCGAATTTTTTAAATACCTTGTAAGCAAGCACTAGAGTTAAGAGAAAGGAAGGCTGTTGGAGGAAAAAAATAAACAACACCCCAGGACGTGGGTGTGAGCTCATCGGGCAATAGCTGCTTTGTAGGCATTATTGAGACCTAGCTTCTATCCCCATCAAGAAAACAATGGAAGGCCAGGCAAGGTGTGACAGAATGTCCTGGTCCCGTCTTGAATCTTGAATTTTGTTTTCTGGGGGTTGTTGGGGCAGAGTCTCTGTGTGCTGTGCGGCCTAGTTTCTGACTCTCGGGACACAGGCACATACTGCTGTCTGGCTTAAGGTTTTTGATATAGGGGTTAAATAGACCTAAGGAAGTTGTCTTGCTTTGGGGATCCAGGGTTGGGCTCCTCATTCTGCCAAAATGATGATTACCTTTTGCTATTATTATAAAAATGTCGACCTTTAGCTGATCCGCCTGGTCCTGAGGCAGTCCTTTGAAGTTCTCAAGCGGAAGGCCTGGGAAGAAAGGTCAGTACGTTATTTCCATTAACATGTTAAATTATTTACATGAACACGTAGTGACATTGAAAACACGTCAGAGTTGCTAGGTGACTCGGTGGTAGAGAGCTTGCCTAATGGGGTATGAGGGCCTGGTTTTAATCCTTAGTAACCCAGAAAAAATCCTTAAAGAATAATAGGGCCCCCTAAGATTTCTGGTAATAAAACATGAATTGACTGATGTATGCACACCACGATGTAGTGCTATGAGAAGCACCATAGATCCTGAGCCAGGGGAGTTAGAGCCCAGTAGTTGTGAGGACGTTGAGACCGACTAGAATAACCGTTCTTCCCTTTAGGCCTCATATTGGTCGTTATACTGTGTGAGCAGTAAACTAATTGCTTCTGTCTGTTCTTTGAGAGGAGGGAAGTATTAGTGATAATGTCTTTTTTTAAAAAAAAAGTAAAGGAAAAACTGTGTTGTTGGGTTTTTTTTGTTGTTGTTCTTTAGCCAAATCAAACTTTTCCTGGACGTCCTGACAAAGGAGATCCTGAGTCCCGAGAGTCAGTCTTCCGACGGAGTGAGGAACCACTTGATTGATGCCTATTTGGATGAGCTTTCCATTGTGGGAGGGAGAGAGGTGAGGAGCAGCACTGCCATCCAGCAGTGTGGTGGGGCCACCGTGTTCGGGGTTGGCGTGGGCTCTGTCAGAAGTGCAATCTCTGTAACTTCTCCTGGAGTCTACTGTGCCCCAGACAGCTAGTGGACTTGTAGCAGAACTGTGCACTATGAGTGTATAGCAGTCTTAACCTATAAAATAGGATTGAGCCCCACACAGCTGCTGGAGAAGCTGAGGCAGGAGAGTCATTTGACCCAGGAGTACGAGACCCCATGTTCAGCCATGGTGGTGTCCGTCTATCATCTCAGCATTGAGGCAGCCTACCTCCCTCCTCTGCAGAAAGAGCTGGAAACAATTTGCAGAGTCCAGTATGAAAAGAGCAGGATATGTTGAGTGTTTCAGAAGCTGTAAGGGGAAAGGCAGTAGACAGCACCACACGGCTTATACCCCATGTATGAAGACAAAAAGCTGGAAAGAAAAGGTATACTTTTAGATAAAAATGGTCATCTCAGTCTGGGAATATAACAATTTTTACTATTTGACGTTCTATAGTGAACCTTTTATACATATATTAAGTCAAACTATAAATGATATATTTTTAAGAGAGGGGCAACCCATATACACACACACTGTAATCGATTAATGAATGAACAAATGAAGTTTAAAAGTAAAGAATGCCTTTGTCAGCCAGGCAGTAGTGGCACACACCTTTTAATCCCAGCACTCGGGAGGCAGAGGCAGGCAGATCTCTTTGGGTTCAAGGTCAGCCTGGTCAATAAGAGCTAGTTCGAGGACAGGCTCCAAAGCTACAGAGAAACCTGGTCTCAAAAAACCCTAATAGGTGGGTGGGTGGGTGGGTAGAAAGAAATAAGAATGCCTTTGTCTCCTGCTGACGTGGCATCCACGTGGCACTCGTGTTTTCCTTGCATTTCTGGAGATAGCCAGGGCCTACTGCTGGGCAGGTGCCACACCCAGCTGCCCCAGGAGACTTGAGTGCTACAGGGTCACCCGGATCAATTGATGGTTCTTTGGCTCACTGCACTAAGATACCCAGAAGACCAGAGAGAGGCTGACTTAGCCTGCTGAGCATTTCTGCAGCATGTCTGTAACTGTGTGTGACAGCGCGAAATGCAGCTGATCTTACCTGTGAGGGGGCAGGGACTTCCTCTTCTACTACATCATGTACTATCTTTCCCTCATTTTCCCTCTGACCCGCCCAGCAGGTCCTAAGTTACTACAGGGTCTTGAAGAGGCACTATCTGAAAGACATGGGGGGCGGGTACGGACGCCAAGCAGTATTCCTTGTCAAGGCATCCCGTTTATTGAAGCAAGTTTTATGTCTTATATACTCCTCAGTGAGGAGCTCGGGGCAGGGGGAACTGAGGAAGGGGGAAGGGGGAAAGGGAAGGAGGGGCTCGGTAGCTAGGCAACTAAGTGGGGCAGTTTGAAAGCTAAGCAGGGCAGTTGCAAGGTCAGTGGCTAGAACACCTGCTGTTAGTGATAAGCAGCAAGCCCTGAAGACACTCTGTGGTGCTTTCCAGAGCTTGAGTCTCCAAGGTCAGCACGTAATGTTTTGGCTAACTTTAAGTTTTCTTGTCTCAAGATTTTTACTTCAAGGTCCTGTGAGATATAAGAAAGGGGAAGCCTGAAATGGCTCCTGACATCCCTCTATTTTCTGTCTAAATTACAGCTTTTAGCGCATCAGAACCTCAAGCTAATTGATCCATTCTGCAGAATTGCCGCCAAAACTAAGGAGTAAGTGGCTCACATGTTCTCGCTGCTTTCGTTGATGCCTGAGGGTAGGGTTCTGTTGTCCTGGAACTCAGAGATCCACCTGCCTCTGCTTCCCAGGGCTGGGATTAAAGGCACACATCACTGCAGCCTGGCTAGAACACCATTCCTAATACCCCTCACAGGCCTGAGGCCAGCCAGCCCAGGCTACACAATAAGATCCTGCTCAGAAGGAAGCAGAGTTAGTGGTCTCTAGAATCTGCAGTGGACCTGCTTTAAGGGTGCCTTTGCGTCTCTGCTGAGCAGTGGTGGGCACCCTGGGCCCCAGGCAGGCACCAGGCATGCACTTCCCTGAGCCATTCTCCACTTTGCTCCTTTCTGCACAGGCTCCAGACCGAGTGTTTTAATCACATTCTCTCTGCTGTGCTTCTACCCTCAGCCACGCACTGGTACAGACTATAGCTAGGGATGTTTTTGAAGTCATTATAGATCAGTCTGCTTTTGTACCTGAAGAGACTGTGGAGGAGCAGAGAACCAAAGTGGGTGACAGTGGCCTCTCTGCCCGAGAGACCCCTGCAGACAAGCTGGCCTGTACAAAAGCAGTCTGCGGGAAGAAGGCTGGTGAGAGCATTTCCTGTGTTCTTTCTCTCTGAGGGTTGGCTTTGTTTTGCTTGTTTGTGGATATTGGTCTTAGCTGTGGTTGTGTGCGTGTGTGTATACTTTCATGTGGAGGCCAGATGTCAACGCTGGGAGTCGTTCCTTGGGTTTCGTGCACCTCTTATTTGATATGGCACCTCTCATTTTGTTATGGCACATCTCGTTGTCATGCACCTCTTATTTTGATCTGGCACATCTCGTTGGCCTGGAAGATGCCTGATTAGGCTAGATGGCTAGCCAGGGAGTCCTGGGGACCTCCTGTTTCAGCCTTCCCCGTGCTACCATGCCTGGGATTTTTTATGTGGATTCTGAGGGTTGAACCCAGGCCCTTGTACTCGTGTGGTGTACACCTGCCTGACCAAGCCTCCCCAGCACCTCTGGGTTTTGTTTTTTAAATCTCCATAGGCACTTGGTTGGCATCTCACTGAATATAGCCCTCCCACCAAAGAGTGAAGCAGGGTAAAGAAGAGACATGTGCACAACCAGGGGCCCCCAGGAGAAACCCAGCGCTGCTCACACTAGGCCTGACAGATTCTGTCCCTCCAGGAGCTCACCTTCTTGTGAAGTGTGGCCTGTGCCTGGGAGAGCTGCCTACAGTCAGGATCACACCATGACTCCCCTGACACACAGGTTCCTTCTAGGAGCCTTTAGTTGTTTGGTGGGGGGTAGACTTGTTCAGTATGGACCTAGTACTGGGGGTAAAACCTGGAGCTTTACAGAGAAAATAGAAAGACAAGCATTTTTAAAAGAGTAATTCGTATCAATCCCTAGGCAGCAGTTGCTGGTGCACTGTAATTTTTCTTCCTGGTGATGGGGATTGAACCCAGAGCCTGGAGAGCTGAATGAAACACGTCTATTCTTGAATGTCAAGGTTTTGTCTTTGTCTTTGGGTGTACTTTGACAGCACTGGGTGAATGCCTCGGAGATGGAGCCCTTGGCAACAGAGAAAGAGACAGCTGGGCAGCATTCAAGAATTCAGGGTCATCTCTCCAGGTGGGGGCAGCTTTTGCTTTTTATAGAATGTGGATTGCCTGGGGGTGCTTGGCTAGAGAATTAGGGTCAGACAGAGCTCATTAAGCCTTAAGACCTGAACTGTAAAGTCCTTTATAATCCTCTCTGTAATTAATGTGACCATTCTGAGCTTGTTGGGAACAACTTGAAAAGAATGAGATTTTAAGTTGGCATGGTGTCGCGCACGTGGAATCTCAGCACATAGTTCAAGACTAACCTGGGCTACTTAGTAACATCCTGTTTGAAAAACACAAAAAGAAGCCAAGCATGGTGGTGCACACCTTAATCCTAGCACTCAGGGGGCAGGGGTAGGCAGATCTCTGTGAGTTCCAGACCAGCCCAGACTACATTAGAAAGACCCCCATTTCAAAAATAGACAATAAGTACAGGAGAAACAGGCGCCAGCAACACTGTGAGCCCTGCTGACTCTATTGTCCTCCATTGTCACTGCAGCCTCAGTGGGGCCCTAGGTTTCTGTGCATCGCTGCCCACGGCTCCCAATGGAGCAACCGAGCGCAGGCCCAGGTATGGGATGCAGCCATGGCAGACTGTACGGGAGCAGGCACAGTAGGCCAGACCTTGGGACCAGTGGTGGGCTCGAGTGTGGCAGGGGACCCGGTCAACTCTGCTTCACTGCCTCAGGGAGACCTGCAGCTCAAGAGCTACGGCCAGTTCAACAGCTTCCGCTGAAACTGCCTGGCTGCTGTGAACACCAAGCCCTCTTAGCAGAACCTGAGGCAGAAAGGGAATAATTTTGTGTCAATACACTTGGACAAACAGGACTGGAATCCTGCAGTGAACAAGAAATCAGTTGCGAAATGGCTGAGGCAGAGTGTGGTTCAGTCAGGCATGTTGGAAGCAGGAGTGGGTGGACAGGATCATTTCCCCAAACTAAATCACATCTTCAGACCACAGATAGAGCGAGCAATCCATGAGTTCCCGCAGCCCAGCTAAAAGAAGCTGTGCCAGCTCTCACTCCCACCGCCCCAGAACCTGAAAGCCAGGATCCTCCAGCGCTATCACAAGATGCTTCCTAAGGATGGATACCTTTGGAAAATTCCATTTTAAAGAAGAAATGAAATGGATTCTGGTTTCACATGAATATAACTTTAGTCATCCATGTCACTACTGATGTCCAGATTTGGCCTTGACTGGGGTGGTGTATATTGGATGGAGAGCAAGTTTGGTGGTGAGACATTATCCAAGGGTCCGACCACAGTATTGACACTACAGAGTGACTTGGGCTGTCCTGAACAGACACTTGAATATGGACACTGCATGTGGATGTTAGCACCTGTGCTCTGCAGTGTGCAGAAGCCAGGCTGTGGCTAGCAGCGAAGGGCCATGGGAGCAGCTGTTTGACAGTGGGTTTTGCTACTGTTGTTAGAGTCACAGGCTGGGATGTACAGCGCTTAGTGTCAGCAGCTAACTGACACTATTGTAACCGTCCTGTGCTTGGGGATTTTAGTGGTTTCCTTTCTTTGGTCAGAGGTGACTTGGAGCCCTGGAGTGAGTGAGGAAGCTGAGACTTGGGGTACAAGGAAAGCCGCAGGGGCGAATCACTCTGGACGTGGTGCTCAGTTCTCATGTTTGTGTTTCTAGGAGAACGGCTCTTAATAATACATAGCAGACATTTTACAGTTAAGAATTTTGAAAGGCACCAGTGTTCGTCTTCTGCCGTGGCTGCCTGTTTTCCTTGGTGTGGCAGCGCTGGCCCTGCTGCACTGCTTGGGGGGTTTTGATTTGTTTTTTGAAGCAGAATCTTGCTCTATAGTCTAGGCTGGAGTTCATGGCAATCCTTCTGCCTCCCAAGTGCTGGGAATACAGGTTTGCACCACAATGCCAGTCTTCCAGTTTTGGTTTCTGGTTAGTCGATCAATGGTTTGTACAGGGTCCCTTTATAATGTAGCTTTGGCCATCCTAGAACTTCTGTGTAGATCAGGCTGGCCTTGAACCACAGAGATCCACCGCCTCTATCTTCCAAGTGCTGGGAATAAAGGCACGTGCCACCACACCCACCCCAGTTATACTTTGAAAAAGTACGAGTATTAGAAGTTCTAAGATTGAGAACCCAGGAGGAATATAAGTTCATCAGGCAAATTTTGCCCTTTGTATGAGACCACAGTCTAGAGAGAACTACTCACGCCCAAGAACATTCAGAAGGCGGCTCTGGTAGGCCAGATTGGTTCGCTACCACTCATATGTCTTATCTCTTCTTGGTAGTTTGACTTAAAGGCTGTTGCTGATCGACTCTTAGAAGTAGCCAACTCAAAGAGCACCCCTCCCTTCAACCGGAAGCGGCTCTTCAGACTGATCAGAAAGTAAGCAGTGATTGAGAGCCCATGGCCATAACACTGTGGACCAACATTCTCCTGCATGCTTTTTTCTTCTTCTTCTTCTTTTGTCTGTGTGTATGACTGCAGGCCAGAAAAGGGCACCAGACCCCGTTACAGATGGTTGTTAACCACCATGTGGTTGCTGGGAATTGAACTCAGGACCTTTGGAAGAGCAGGCAATACTCTTAACCTCTGAGCCATCTTTCCAGCTCCCTCTTCTTCTTCTTTTAAAGATGTATTTATTTTTATTTCGTGTGTGTGTGCACCTCCTTTTTCTTCATTTTTCTTTATAATTTTATTCATTAGCTACATAGCACATATGTGAACTTAAGCCAGGGAAAGAAGCAGCCCTGCTCACCCATACAGCTGTAGGGTGGTGGTGCCAGCATGCTCCTCGAATGTCACTATCGACACACCAAGGGGCTCATTACTTCACTCTCACCTTCAATCTCACCTCCCAGCAGGGTTGTGCCAAAGGGGTTGGGTCATCTGGTAGTCCGCGTCTATGTCACTAGGACCATGGAGCCATAATAGATGGTTGGCCAAAAAGCCAGTAGGTGTGTTCTGACTGCCTGAGAATGACAGCTGTCTGCTCACCTCACTGGGTTAGCAGGCACTGGCCTGACAATGGCCCTCTATGGTATGAATGCCTCAGAACAAACTAGCTACAGATGGTAAGCTCTGGGTTCAAGCGAGAGACGCAGCTTCCATGTGGAAAGTGAGAGTGGCCCCGGGTGATAGCATGTAGATCTGACATCTGCATGCACATATGCTCACATGCAGACAGGCATACATACCAAAAACATGGCTTCTAAAGAAAGAATACTCTGGAAAATAGCATTCATAACTTCCTATACTTCATAGCTTGGTCACTAAATGTTTGCCAAGGTCTCCAGTGTGGATGCTGGATCCTACCTGCCTACTCCAGCAACCCAGCCCAGCCCCATGACCTCCTTCGTATCCTCAGCTTGTTTATTTGGCCTAATGCATATAGTTGCATAAGAGAACCCTCTGCCAATGTCCCCTGGACAGAAGTAGCATGGACTGTCTGCCTTCAGAGACAAGTGGGGAAGATGCTGGCGCTCTGGGTGTCTTGTGTGCCAGAGAAACTCTAGCCACTGTGTCCCTTGCAGTGTTGGTGGAATTGAAGGTGCCTTTGTTCTGGGTTTCTTCCTTCCTGACCCATCACGTCCCTAGATAGAGCTGTCCCCTAGCCTCCCCTGTGGAGGAGAGGATGGGGAATGCACATCCAGATTCCTGCTTATGTCCAGGACCTGTATCTACCACGCTGAACTCCATGTGTTCCTTTTCAGGTTCCAGAACCCCTCTGAAGGTAAGAAGAGTCGGACTGTGAGTCACACCCAGTGCACACCCAACAAGGGCCTCCCGGCCAGATTCTGAAAAGTGGGACTTCAGACCTTCATGGAAAGTGACTCACGGGGGACAGACCACAATTAGGTTCACGTGGCATACCCAAGGGAAGACCCTTTGCACCCACTTTCCATGCATCTGGTGTCTACTGTGTGTGGATGATGTGGTATTTATTTGAATTTTTATTGGTGCTTTCTACAGTTAAGTTTTTAATGGGGAAAGGGAAGGCAGAAGAAGTGGCTTAGTGGTTAAGAGCTCTGGCTGCCCTTTATAGAGGACCCATGTTCAATTCCAGAGCCCACATAGAGATCCAGTGAATGCCCTCTTCTGGCCTCTGTGGGCACCAGGCACATACTTGACACAAACATACATGTAGCTCTGGCAGTCATCATCAGTGTGTTTTCAGGCCAAGAGCCGTGAGTTCGCTTGGAGAAGCAGTTGGTAGTGCAGGTGATGAAGCAGAAGTTAGGCTGGGGAATCTTCGCTGGAGGGCAAGGGAGGAGCTCAGGACCTGGGCTACTGCAGCAGACGCAAAAGGGCCTTGGAAGCTGACCATTGTCCCTTTGCCACCTACCAGGCAATAGTGCTCAACTCAGTTTTGCTCAGGACATTAGTGCTGATGAAAATGGTCAAGCCCTAAGTCAGAGGAAGCACAAGAAGAAAAGAAAGAAGCTTTTAGAGAGAGCCGCCTTGGACAAGGAGAAAGGTAAGCTGCAAGTCTTAGTCTCGGGCCTGAGAAAGACTCACCTATTGCTCACACCTGGGTAGCTCTGGGCCGTGAGGTCTGAGGACTTGTGAGCCAGTGTTCTTATGAATTATTGGCGTAGAATAACGTTTCTGTATGTGTTTTGGGGTTTGGTTTGCTGTGGTGTGGTTGGGAGGGGGGAGTTGTTCTTAGAAATAGAACCCTCTTATGTAGCCCTGGTTTGCCTCAAACTCATGATCTCCTGCCTGCACCTCCAGAGTACTGGGGTACCATGCAAGCAGCATCACATCCACAGATCCCCTAGGTTCTCTTATTTTCTTTTTTATACAATTAATTATTAATTAATCTTGTTTATTTGTTATTGCATACCAATCCCAGCCCCCTCCCTCATCTTCCCTCTCCCCTAATTTACTCTCCACACACCCCCGCTCCTCAGAGAGGGTAAGGCCTCCCCTAGGAAGTCCACTTTGTCTGTCCCATCACCTTGTTGAGACAGGACCAAGACACACACACACGGGCCTAGGCTGAGGCTCTACAAAATCACTTCATGCATTAGAGTTAGATCCTGGTCCCACTGCCAGTGGCCCCCACCTACTGCCCAAGCCACACCCTTGTCACCTGTATTCAGAGGTCCTAGAGGTTTTTATTTTCTGTGCAGCCGCTGTTCTGATCTCGTTTGTGCAGAGGTGTGTGCTATTGAATGGTACAGGGAGAGAATAGGGTTCCAAACACTATCCTCTGTGTGTGTGTGTCTTCTGACTTTAAAATTATTGGAAGTCTGGGCTAACAAGGTGTCTCAGCAGATAAAGGCACTTACTGCCAAGCCTGAGTTCAATCCCCAGGACCCATGTGGCAGAAGATGATTGAATCCCACATTTTGTTTGTTTGTTTTTCAAGACAGGGTTTCTCTGTAGCTTTGGAGACTGTCCTGGAACTAGCTCTTGTAGACCAGGTTGGTCTTGAACTTACAGAGATCCACCTGCCTCTACCTCCCGAGTGCTGGGATTAAAGGAATGTGCCACCAATGCCCGGCTGTATGTTAAATATTAGGGCCTGGAGATAGAACTCAGAGGCTAAAGAGCACTGCCAACTCTTACAGAGAACAGGTTTGATTCCCAGCACCTACATGGCAACTTAGAACTGTCAGTAACTAGTTTAAGGGGATCTAGCACTTCTGGCCTCTACATGCAGCACACATACATATGAAGCAAAGTAAAAATAAGTTTTGAAAATACTGAAAAACATATGATTGAAAACATCTTGCCAGGGGCTGGAGAGATGGCTCAGTGGTTAAGAGCATTGTCTGCTCTTCCAAAGGTCCTGAGTTCAATTCCCGGCAACCACATGGTGGCTCACAACCATCTGTAAAGAGGTCTGGTGCCCTCTTCTGGCCTGCAGACATACACACAGACAGAATATTGTATACATAATAAACAAATAAATAAATAAATATTTAAAAAAAAAAAAAAGAAAACCTCTTGCCATTTACACATTTCTATCAAGATCCGCTTGAAGGTTTCTGGTCACCGGAGGAGAGAAGTGGGACCAGTTAACAAAACTAGCTGAGGTCAGAACTTGTCTGATGGTGAAGGTTGCAAGATCCAGGGACTGGAAATGGGTCCAGCGGCAGAAACCTTTCTCAGTGTGTGTCAGGCCCTAGTGCCGTCCCCAACACCACCAAAAAATAGTCTTGGCTGGGCTCTAGAATCTCAGCATTCAGGAACCTAAGACCCACTGCACATTTGAGGCCAGCTTGAGCTACTGTGACCACAGTTGACAGGAAGTAACCTAAAGGAGGAAGAGCTTATGTGGGTTTACAGTTCAGGGTACAGTCAGTCCTGGTGGGGAAGGCATGGCAGCAGGCGCCTAAAAGAGCTCAGCTCACGTACGCAAGCCAAGGAGCAAAGGGGACAGGGAAACTACAGGGCCAGGCTGTAAACCTCAAGGACTTCTTCCAGCAAGGCCTACCTCTCAAAGGTTCCACAGCCTCCCCAAATAGAGGGCCAAGTGTCCAGATACATGTGCCGGGTATATGCAGGTTCACAAACACCAAGGCCAGGCAGGGGTCGACAGTAGGTGTCTTCCTCCATTAGCTTGGCTAGACTGAGCTTCAGGGATCTGCCTGTTCTATCCTGGACACACACACACACACACACACACACACACTGTCCCCAGCACTTGGGTTACAGGTCCACATTATGCCATCACACTTAGCTTGTATGTGTGTCCTGTATGTCCAAACTCAAGTCTTCTCGCTTTGACAGCAAGCAGCACTTAACCTGCTGAGCCATCTGCTCAACCCTCCAATGGGGGTATTTTAATTCCAGACCTTAACAACTCTGGTGAGACCCTGCCTCTAAAGGAGTGTGCGCTGTTACAGTATACCTGCATTCCTATCACCCATGAGAGGTAGTCATGACGACCAGGGTTTCCTACAGCAGCCTTGGCTGTATAGCAAGTTTGAGGCAACTCTGAGTTACATGAGACCCTGTCTCAAAATAAGTAAACACACTGCCTGGCTGCCCGGCTGCCCAAGAGTCACCAGCAGGGCTGGCACACTCACTGGTCTGCGTCTTTGTAGGAAACATAGTCTCTCTTGATGGTGAAGAGGACAATGGAGGCAACATTCCCAAGAAGAAAAGGAAAAAGAAGAAGAAGAGCCACTTCCAGGCTGAGACTCAGGACCTGGGTGCTGTTATCATGCCACCAGCAGAGAGTACTGACCTTGAGCCCAACAATGCCAAGAGGCAGACCCCACAGGCGTGTGTGACTGGGCCTGCAGCAGAGCCCACAGCTAGCATCAAAGAGAACAGCTCCGAGCCAACACCCATCTTTCCCACGCACAAGAAAAGGAAGCGGCCAAGAAAGAAGAGCCTGAGGGCCCACAGAGAGCTTTGGAAATCTATCCCTTTGTCTCAGGAGGATGTAGCAGAGAATGATCCTAGCAATGACCGGCCCCAGAGCTCTGCTGCCCAAGTTTCTTCCTCAGAAGGTGTCCAACGGAAGAGGAAACGGAAACTCAGGGCTGTCCCTGTCAACAGTGGTGGCTTGACTGTACAGAAGGCAGGCACCCCAACAAGCCCTAGCGAAGAGAAAGATAGCCAGACCACCCTGCCCCAGTGCAAGAGGCCACAGAAGAAGACAGTGTCCTGCAGTCTTGACCTCCATGATCTGTCCAGTCAAAAATCAGCAATCTTAAAAAAGAGGAAGAAAATGAAGCTGATGTCAAAGTTGGTGGAACACAACGGAGTGACTGAGTCCAGCGCCGGGCAGATCCCAGCTCTGCTAAGGGGGGAGTGCCCAGAACGTGGTGCTGGGCTTGACCAGGTATGCTCAGAGGACTCAGATATCTGCTAGGGCTAGGACGTAGGGACAGCCAGACTTAGGGGACGCAAGGGTTAGAATGAACTGCTTTAGAACAGTTCTCACCAAGCAGATGGCAGGTTCCTGTCTAGGTGGCCAAGTGAAGGTGACCCATTCGGCACCATATGTTCCACCTCTTCCCTCACAGACCTGATGTCTTGCCAGGTCAGACAGGAAGCACGGAGCTAAGACACTGTCAGAGTCAAGCCTCCATTCAAAACTGCTCTCTCGGTCCAGCCCCGGTGGCAGAGAGGAAGCCTGGAGCTCTTAGACTCTCAGGTTAATGACAGGGCGTTCTTCCTCTGTAGACTTCTGAAGCTATAAGGGCGACCCAGGCTCTTGTGTTTTTGCCATATCTAGGAAGCATGCTGCTTCTGTGCCAGGCTCAGTCCGGGTGGCAAACACACCACCATGTGTTCTTTGCTGTGGCCACCAAGCCACCAAAATAGTGACTCCCTGGCTGTCCAGGGAAACATGTGACCCCTGTTCAGCACCAGTGCGTGCTTACACATACTGCTTTGCGGTGCCTATGTATCGAAGGTGAGTTCATGGCCAGTAAAGGGTTACTGAAGGAGAGCACAGCACTGGGCTAGCCTTGGCACATCAAGGCCTTTAGCCTTGCCCTGGTAGAGGCACGAATTTTCTTCATAGCCCTTGGAATTGGGGTAATTGCTAACTAGTTGAGGCCAAGGGAAGTTGCTGCTTTCTCTCTTGGTATAGGGTTGCTTTGGAGCATGCCAGAAAGCATGCTTCAGCAAGGGGGGCACCACCAAGCTCCAGCCAAACAGCCCACATGGTGCTTCCACACTCAGCTTCCCAGATGTGGGGATCCCCAAACCAAAGCCACACTACACATGCAGCCCACATAATATCTGGGCACAGATAGAAACGTGAGAGCTTAACAGGTGGACTTGAAAGGGATGCTTACTCCATCTGTGGGCTCTGGGGTAGAGCCTAAGGTTAGACCAGTGGGCTTTCCAGCAGAGATCCCAATATTGTGATCCCTGCTGGCACAGGGCCCAGAAGTGAAGTCTGCTCCACTGAGCAGGAGGGTTTCTGGCAGAGCTGACAAAAGAAACTGTGGGCTAAGGGGCTTAGGGTGGGTCAGCCTCTAGCACTTCCCTGCTGTGCTGTTCTGGTTTCTTTCCCTGTGGGTGTGAGTCTCCTTCCTCCCGACTTCTCATCTTCACAGGAAAGCAACAGGAATCTGAAAAAGCCGCTGAAAATGGAGGATGACTTTGTGAAGTTTGACACCCACTTCTTACCAAAGCCCCTGTTCTTCAGGAAAGCAAAGAGCAGCTCTGCCATCCGTCCCCAAAGTCCTGCTGTCCAGGTGAGCCCTCCATAGCACACCCCCACAGGGATACGCAGACAGGTGAACTGAGTTCTGGGTGCAGGTGGTGAAGTCTACCTGGCAAGGAACTTGGGGACTAAAGGGGCCCAGCTTCCTCGTCTGACCACCTGCGTGTGGATGAGCCACAATTCTAGAAAGAGGCAGAGCTCAGGAGGGCTCAGGCTTCTAGGGACATCTCAAGTAGAAAGGCTCATCATTAATTATTAATTCTGATAGCTTGTTGGGAAATCAAATAATTTGAGGTCCTTTGCACAAAAGTTTGGGGATTTTGGTCTGTGATGGCGTGCCAGCAGTAGAGCATTTCCTCAGTACTTCTCATGGCCTTGGGTGCTATCTCCAGCAAAGATTTTAAATTCATACCCATTGCCCATTGAAATTAGACCCCATTTTAAGTCTAATCTAACCAGTTGCCTGTGAGCTACAAGTTGCAGCTTAGACATTCTGGACCTGCTTGATGGCTTGGCTGGTAAAACTGCTTGCCACCCAGGTCTCACACTACCTGAGTTTAATCCCCAGAGCCCAAGGGGAGGACTGACTTCCAGAAGTTGTCCTCTGACAGACACACACACACACACACCGTGTCACATGCACATCCATATCCACCATACACCTAATAATAAATAACTTTTTTAAGTTCTGGGACAAAATAAATGATTATTAGCATGTCCTTACAATTTGGGTGGTAAATTTGGAATTCCAAACATCCATTCTTCTTTTTCACTGGGAATGTGGTGTCCATTTGAAAAATCTGGGCATCTGTGAAAAGTGAAGGTCATGGGCAGAAGTCTGGTAGTGGAGTCTGTTTAGGTCATAGCATGCTGCCCCATTAGCCTTTGTGTGTGTGCAAGTCAGGAAACAGACTGCAAGGGCCTTCCCTGGGTAAGTTCTTCAGAAAATTCTCAGGGAAGGAGGCTGAGCACCTGTGTTACCATGGTTACTCCTTTGTTGTTCTGCAGCTGAATAAAACACCCTCCAGCTCCAAGAAAGTCACCTTTGGATTGAATAGAAACATGACTGCAGGTGAGTGGGTGGGCTTCTGGGAAACTTCCTTGGGACCAACCAGCTGGAGCCAGCTCAGGGTTCTCCAGCAGCCAAAGCCCCTCCTGTCCCTGCCTATTTCTGGGTCAGACAGTTAAGCAGTGCTGGCAGATCTGGCATGGGTGCCAAGGAAGGGAGAGGTTTCAGGGTGTTTGGTTTTTTTGGAGATAGGCTGTCTCTGTGTAGTTGTAGCATTCCTGGAGCTCATATGTAGACCATACTGGCCTTGAGCTCACAGAGATTCTTCTGCCTCTGCCTCCCAAGTGTTGGGATTAAAGGCAGGGAGAGATTCTTGGGGCCTCCTGAGGCCACCAGGAAAGGGATGAGGTGGAAGCCATTTGTCCCGGTGTTCTGGTTCTGTCCATCCAACTAATAACCTTTCCTTTCGGACAGAATTTAAGAAGACAGACAAGAGTATCCTGGTCAGCCCCACAGGCCTCTCCAGAGTGGCTTTTAACCCTGAGCAGAGGCCACTGCACGGAGTGCTGAAGACGCCAACCAGCTCCCCCGCCAGCACTCCTATGTCAACCATGAAGCTACCAGCCACCACTCCGAAAAGAAGGCCAAGGGCTGCGGACTTTTTCTGAGAGCCAGCATCCCTTTTTAAAGACTGCTTTTATACTGGATATTCTATAAATTATAACTTTTAAATGTGGGCTTTTTAATTATTTTACAAATCCCCGTGAACGGGGCGAATGTTCCAGGCCTGAGCTGCTGTCCCTGTCCCTCCTTGCCTGAGGTGCAGGCCATGGTTCTGGTCTGAGTCCATGCACACTCAAGAGGAGGACTAAGTGATGTGGGTATGAGGAGCCCCTCTCCTCGGTGCCGTTGCTGCACCTACCGCAGTTGGTGCCGTTCTGGTTACTCGTCTAAGTCTGCCCTTGTGAAAGCATGTCAGCTTCTGGCCCATTCTGTGGATTCTGTGGGCGTTTGGCTGTTTCTCTTGAATGAGCAATAGTGTAGCTTTTCTACGTGTGACCAGCACGGGGTGGACAGGTGCGGGATGGAGAAAAGCCACTCTGTCCATGAGGCTTTTTCTCCTCGGCCTGAACTGTCCCTGTCTTCCTACCTCTATAGCAAGCCCAAAGTGTCTTTTCAGGAGGGCCAGTGCCCCCAGGCTGCTGCCCACACACGCACAGTTTCCCAGGCCTCGGGCATAGTTCTCAAGCTCAGTAAGTGAGCCCAGGGCCTCTCTGGCTGCACCTGCTTTTTTTTTTCCCCAGTGTTGTCTGGACCCCAGGCTCTTGGCAGAACAGGAAGTTGGCCGCATGTGCTGGCAGCTCTGTTACCTAGCACACAAGCACCTGCATCCGCAGGTTTTCTGCAACACTTCAAGCTTGCATTAGTGCAGAATCCCGGGGAGACGCTCAGGCTTCCAATGAAACAAATCTGACTTTTTCAGAGCAAAGCCTACTTGGCAATTGGCCTTGTCTAAGGAAACTACCTTGGGTCTGAAGGGTGGAGCCTCAGGAAGGGGCACAGCCAGAGGCCCAGATCCTCCTGGTTTTGCCTTGAGGCCCTGGCTCCCAAGCACTCAAAAGTGCTATCAGTTTGCCCTATGCTCAGGGTATGCCCGGGTACCTCCTACTCTGTGCACCCTTATGCAGAAGCCCCAGTAGAGGATATCAGGTCACTACTGCAGGGATCGCAGAGTTGCTAAGTCTGCCTCTGGCTTTACTCCTAAACACAGTCAAGGGGTCCACTTCCTGTTGTTGGACCAACTGACTCATGGATAACATTCCTGAGAGGAATGAAATGACTTTGTCTTTTGCCTGCTCAGTAATGAAGTATATCAATAGGCCATAAAAAATAGAGATATTATGCTGTTGTCAGAATAGGTCGTGTGCAGTGTAACTTGTGGTGGCATGACCACAGTGTGCTGAGTTTGACAGTCATACTCAAAACAACCTGTGTAGAAAAGATTAAGGTTAAGGCAGCAACTGCCGTTAGCTTTTCATTTACAAAGTTCAACATGTCCAGTAATTTTTTTTTTTTCATTTTAAAGTTATGTTATATAGCCAAGTTTTGTGAAGCAGCAGGCAGCGGTAGTAGAAACATCCGCAGCATTTTCACGCTAGCTACCCATCCTCAGGGACCAGTGAGCATCCTGGAAGCACATGTAATTCCTGCCGAAATTACTCCCGGGGCAGAGGGCAACCTCTGAGTGCTGGGTTTACAGGTGGGCACTGCTGTGCCAGACCAAGATTTTTGGTTTTATTTCTTATGCGCACAACACAGGGAGGCTCTGCCACATGAAGGAGTACGTTTAGGATGCCATCGTTGTCCTTGATGTGTGTTATTTCCTCTAGTAAAATTGCCGGGGAGGCCAGAGAAGCAGATCTTAGTGCTGGTGACCTAAACAGCACTTGAGAAGATGATGGTCTTAGGAGTGTGGATGTGGTCATTTTTACAGTTTAATTTCAAACTTTCTTTTTTCTCCCAGCTCCCCAGGAGCTCTCGTGTATCCCATGTGGCCCCACACTGGTGGTCGTCCTGCCTCATCCTCCCTAGTGCTGGGACACAGTCCCCTTTCCGAACTGAAGCACTGGGAGCCTGAGGGCTCAGGAAGCAGTGGCCTCCCTGGGAAGTAGGTTTGTGTTCTCTGTGGATCACCAACTGCCCACAGTGTAGTTTGTTTACGATCAAATTGTATTGGTTTCTCCAGGGCTTGTCGGTACAAACCAAAGCCAAGAGCAATTAAAAGAAATATGTTTTTATCCTCAACTTTGTCTCTAATGTTGACTCGGTGTCTATAAATGTAGGCCTGTCTGGAAACTACTACCATGCCAGGGGCTGGAAAATTCAGTCGTGTTTGAAGAGGACATAGCAGGTTCTTGTCCCTTTTTCCCCCAGAGCTAGTGGGCTTCCTCGGGCCTTGCTCAGGTTGATACACTGGGACTGTCAAAGCTCGCTGCCATTCACTGTGTCTAAAGCAGGGCACCTGTGGCTGAGTACAACTGCCCAGTTCCCCCTCAGAAGGAAAACACGTGCACCCAGCCACGGTCCAGGTGTTATAAGATTGGAACTTACTTAACATCAGCCAAAAGAAAGAGACACATGTACGGGGGAGGGGGGGTCCAGAAGGGTTCTCAGTCGACCTCAGGGAAGGTTATGGAGGCAGTAGAAATGGGAAGGCTCCTCCATGAGACAAAGCACTCAGAAAACCAGGCGCTGTTCATAGGACGAAAACCATCCATTTGGAATTAGCATTGACGTGCCTTTGATCCCAGAGCTTAGGAAGCAGAGATAGACCTGAGTTTGAGGCTAGCCTGGCCTACAAAGCAAGTTCCAGGACAACCAGAGCAGGTACACAGAGAAATCCTCCCAGTCTTGAAAAACCACCCTGCTGCAGCTGCTCTGAGCACGAGACCCTGATGGCAAGGGAGTGGGTTCTGCTGGGTCTGCAGCTGAAAGATTCCCGAGAGTTTGGGCGTCGCCAGATCCCTATGTAAACTGCCCCTGAGGACAAATTAAGTTGGCTTTTTTTTTTTTTTTCGAGACAGGGTTTCTCTGTAGCTTTGGAGCCTGTCCTGGAACTAGCTCTTGTAGACCAGGCTGGCCTCAAACTCACAGAGATCTGCCTGCCTCTGCCTCCCGAGTGCTGAGATTAAAGGCGTCCGCCACCACCGCCTGGCAAATTGGCATTCTTGTATCAAGGATGGCCCTTGTCCCTGTGTCTCAGTTTGTCTGTGTGCGTGTGTTTTTAAATCTCCATCCTGGTTCCTGGCCTGTGTACCATAGCACATAATGTAGATGCTGTGTTTTACACTGAGCTAGCTCTTACATCTTAAGTAAACTCATTTTCTACTAATCTGCATTGTCCACAGGACTGTGGCTTACAGGAAAGGTTCCAGTAGCATCTGGCAGCTACATGGCATCTCTCTGATTCTGCCTTCTCTCTATATTTATCTCTCTCTCCCTTCCATTCTGGCTATATTCTGCCCTGCCATAAGCCAAAGTAGCTTTATTGATTAACCAATAAGAGCAACACATACAGAAGAACATCTCACATCAAAAAAATAGTTCCTTCATCATTGACTACGGTGTAACTCAGTACGAGAAAGGAACGGACTGGCACATACATGCCCAGCTGTGCCTCCACTCCAGGGAGCTCCTCCATCATTCAAGACCCCTTGGCAGCAGCATCCACCCAGACTGCTGGACCAGGTTCAAGCCTTCCTTACAGAGCCACAGTTCTATGAAGAACCTTACAGTGAACCAGGCCTCCCAGAACTGCCCCTCAGGGGACACCTTTCCGAGGTATCCACTGAAGGGTCACCAGACATCTGTCACTCAGACAGACCCCTTCCCAGGGACTCCCACTGAAGGTATCTACATGGATGGTTGGGAGACAAGCTCCCAAGTGGCAGAGGGACAGCACTGAAAGGGGTCTCTGGGCTGCAGCAGCCTCTGGAGGGCACATGGAAACTGGATACCACCACCAAGTCTGTGTCCTTGTCTGTCCCCTGTCTGGGCCAAGGTAGATACCTTGACCCAAAAGAAAAGTGCACAGAAAGGGTCAGAACAAGCAGCGATCTGCCATGGTCACCGGGCACCTGAGAAGTGTGTAACTCTAGACCAGATAGATATGTCCTCAGAGGGCAGGACGGAAGCAAAAAATAACAAAATACATTCACTTCTTTTTCCTATACTTTTAGGCTACAGACAATGAAAGGTTTGCAACAATGGGAACAGGACACTGTTCAGGAGCCGCCCAGGAGCACAGCAAAGAGCCCAGGGCTACACGGGCCCACCTGCCTCCTTCGGGAGGGCCCTGCCTTTCCCAGCAAGGACAGGAAAGGGCCTGACCTCTATCACCCAGTGCTATATTCTTATTCTGGATGGGGGTGGTGACATCATACCAGGAACTCAGCTAGCCTACAGGGCACACAGTCCCCTCCTTCCAAAACTCCACATAAGCAAAGTGAAGCCAGGCCTGGCCACGCCCACTGAAGACTCAAGCAGCTTTTAAACACTGGACTTTCCCAACGAGAAGAGAAGGAATGTAGGAGCCAGTCATGATAAGCTAAATACGAACAGATCACCCAAAGGAAGCTCTTTACTTCCAAACATTATCACCTGCCAGAGTAGGACTCAGCTTCAAGTTTAATAGAAGCCTGAGTCTCAATAGTTTACCCTGAAGCAATACCTGGTTGCAGGAAGCACCATAAACTAAGATTACCTGAACACCACCCAAGAACAGACCATCCAAAGGAAATGCCTAACGTTCCAACCACTGTAGATAGGATCACCTGCCAGCACACACTCACCAAGACACCCCTAGACAAATGTCAGCCAATCAGAGAACCTCAGAAGCCCCTCTCCCCCACCTTTACTACTACAAAAACCCAACTCTAACTGAGCTAGGGGCTCTCCGTTTATTCCAATACGTTGGATATGTGGAGAGACAGAGTTTGCAAACTTGCATAAAATAATGGCTCTTTCTTTGCTTTTACGTACAAGAGTCGGTCTCCTTGTTGGCTTTTGGGGGATCTTGTAGATTTGGGCATAACAGGACACCGCTTCATTTCCAAATACATCATTTCATAATTAAACTCCCATAAAAAATAGGGACAGTAAAAGCCAATTCTGATCTGGATACCAGGGGACCAGAGCCGGTGCTGGCTGGCAGGCAGGCTGCAGATGTTTTTTTGGGAAGCACTACTTCTGCCCAGGCCCCATGCTCAAAGCACTTATTGTTTCTTCTCAGTGACAAGCCTGGGCCACAGCCACTGCTCCTTGTCCCCTGGGCTCCAAAGCACACAGAAGGACAATTCAGACTACAGCCAAGTTCAGGATTGGAGAGGAAGTCCTCAGAGGAGAGAGCACTCACCCTGCTGTGTAAGCAAGAAAGGGTCCTCCCAGCCCCATTAGCTCTGGGCTACAGTCAAGAGCCAAGGCTCTCCTGGTGTGTTTGCAGGGATGGATGGTCATGAAGACCCCAGCATATATAAAATGGCCACACACAGTACTGCTCTGGCAGGGGACTTTTCATACCTCATCAGACACATCCAAGCTCTCTCAGCCTATGTCAGCTCTTATCCTTCATTGAGTGCATATATGTGAAGCCAGGTGTCAACATCTGGGGTCCATTGCTCTCCATTTTTTGCTTTAAGACAGGGTCTCCCACCAAACCTGTTTGAATGGACTGGCTGGCAAGAGAGCCCCAGGGATCTTCCATTTTCACTTCCCTAGTTCTTAGGCCTCCAGTGCACACTGCATAACCACACTCGGTGCTGGGGACTGAACTCAGGTTCTTCCTGTCTGCATGGCAAGTCCCCTACCCTCTGGGCCATCTCTCCCGTCGAGTCTCAACATGCAGAGGAAAAAGGAAGGAAGATTTCCTCATTGCTGGCAAAGCAGGGTTCTGCTCTCTGCAAGGCAGTGACAAGCTTTTGCTATGACTTAGGGGAATGTGGTTGTTCCTGCTAGCCATGGGTCTCCTCTTTCTGGTCAGCAAGAATTGGGGCCCAGAGGCTGACAATAGGACCAGGAAACACTTGACAGAGAGCTAGCTAACCCAGGCCTAGAATACTGATAAACAAGATAATTTTTTAAATTATATTGTGTGTGTATGTGTGTGAGCGAGCGCGCACGTGTATAAGAGAGAACAATTCACAGGAACGAGACCTCTGCTTCCAGCATGTGTGTCACTCCGGTTGTCAGGCTGTGCAACAGGCAGCCTTACTTGCTGAGTCCTGTGTCTCCCATGACAGAAGTCTGGTAACCAGGGCTGGAGAGATGGCTCAGCGGTTAAGAGCATTGGCTGCTCTTCCAGAGGTCCTGAGTTCAATTCCTGGCAACCATATGGTGGCTCACAACCATCTGTAATATGAGATTTGGCGCCCTCTTCTGGCGTGCGGGCATACATGGAGGCAGAATGTTGTATACATAATAAATAAATCTTTAAAAAAAAAAAAGTCTGGTAACCAATGTTCATAGAGTTCTGTTGGCCACAATGACCAACACAACCCGCGCACCTGCTTCAGCCTACTTAAGGCACAGGGCCTCAAAGAAATGCCATCTCAGGATGAGGCCCTGTTGTGGAATATTATTTTAACTAGGCAAAGATGTGTTACATTTGTTTATACCACAGGATATTATTTCAACTGTGTAAACGTGTGTTACATTTGTTTGTGCTGCGTTTCTTTAATAACAGAAGAATGTGTGTTTAATTATGTAAAGATGTGTTGCTTTTGTTTTGCCTTGCCTGCCTAAGGCACCTGATTGATAAAAAAAAAAAAAGAAAGAAAGAAAGAAAGAAAGAAAGAAAGAAAGAAAGAAAGAAAAAAAAGTGACCTGCCAATTGCTAGGCAGAGAAAGGATAGGCAGGCAGAGAGAATAAATAGGAGGATAACTCTAGAACTGAGAGAGGAACGAGAAGAGAAGGAAGGAGAAAGAAGGGCAAGCCAACCAGGCAGCCACCAGACAGACAGATATGAGAAGCAATGAAAATAAGAAGGAAAGAAAAGGTTAAAAAAAGAAAAAAAAAAAAAACCCAGAGGCAAAAGGAAGATAAAGAGAAACAGGTTAATTTAATTTAAGTTAAAAGAGCTGGCTAGAAATGAGCCTAAGCTAGGCTGAACAATCAAAACTAGTGAGTTTATGGTGTCACGATTTAGGAGCTGGTTGAGGGCCCAGAAGAGAAAGCCTGGTACAGGGCCCTCAGCTATTCAGTCTAAAATGCCCACCGGTGTTTGCACCCAAGGCTCGCAGGAACCATC